GAGATACTAATGGAATTTCAGGATTATTCAAATCCCTTCCACAGATTGCATTTGCGTGCATAGATGAAGCTCATTGTGTTTCGCAATGGAGTCATAATTTCAGACCTAGTTATCTCATGATAAGTAGAGTTTTAAGGGAAAAACTTAAAGTAAGCTGCATTCTTGGGCTAACAGCAACTGCCAGTCAGCCTACGATAAAAAGCATTATTAATCATATTAACGTCCCTGATGGATTAACTGGAGTTATAACCAATCCAACATTGCCTGACAATCTGTGTTTGTCTGTTTCTTTTGAAAAAGATAAAGATAGAGCTCTAGTTTCATACTTGATTTCGGAACGCATAAAATCTTTCAATTCCATTATCGTTTATTGCATAAGACGAGATGAGTGTGAAAGAATAGCAGCTGTACTAAGATCTTGTCTTCAAGAACCAAATAAAATTAACATGGAAAAAGTGAACAATAAACGCAAAAGAATGTCATATATTGCTGAAGCATATCATGCTGGTATGTCTGCTGCACAACGAAAAAAAATTCAGAAGAATTTTATGGATGGGACATTAAGGATTATAGTAGCAACAGTTGCTTTTGGTATGGGCATAAATAAATCAAACATACGATGCATCATACATTATAACATGCCAAGCAGCTTCGAATCCTATGTTCAAGAGGTCGGACGAGCTGGACGTGACAGTCAGAAAGCTTACTGTCATGTATTTATGAATAACAGTAATAATGATAGAAATGAACTTTTAAAACATATCCACGCAAATACTATTGATAGGTCTATTATCAGACGGCTGCTCCAAAGTGTATTCATTCCATGTGAATGTGGTTCTACATCCAATGTAAGTGACAGTCTTCCAAACAGATCTCCATGTAAAGGTCATGAAGTCGGTATTCCCATTGATGAGAAAGTTGAAGAATTAGACGTTCCATCTGAGAACATTGCCACATTACTATGCTATGTTGAACTTCACCCTAAACATTACATAAAAGTTCTAAATAATGCGTACGTAATGTGTAAAATTTCATCATATGGAGGCCCAAAAAAAATTCTTGAGGCAGCAAAAAGTTGTGCTCCACTTGCAATGGCATATTTGTTAGAAAGTAAAAAAGACCCAGATGTGGTAAATAAAACGATTTTAGAATTTAATGTCATAGAAGTGGCAGCAGCAATTGGTTGGGAAAGCGGTGTCGCAAAGTACAATTTGAAAAATTTAGAATGGATATCTGAAAATGGTTCAAATAAAAGATCTCAACTGAAAGTTGAATTTAACACTCTTGGCTTCAGAATTAAGGCTTCAGGAGATTTAAAACCGCCTGAACTTGATGCTATTTTAAATGATTTACACGAATTAGTTCTAGCACAAGAAAAAACAAGATTATATCAATTAGAAGAAATAAACACAGCTTTTGCAAAACTAGGAAATTATTCATTACAAACTAAAGATATCAGTGAAGAGCTTCTTCAGAAACAGTCTGATGAGTTGAAATCAATCATAAGATGTTATTTTCAACGGGAGGATAATTTACCCACAGATATTACATTAGAAGAAAGACCACTTGATATTGAACGAGTCACATCTGATGTTAGGGCTTTGATATCATCATATAAGGATTGTGAATTTTCTGGACGCAGTATTGCTCGAATCTTCCAAGGCATTTCTTCTCCAAACTATCCAGCTCTAGTTTGGGGAAGGTGTAAATTTTGGCGATCACATATTCATGAAGATTTTTATGGTCTTATAAAAATAGCAACGCAACAAATTCTACTCATGAAAATGTAATAAGTTCAATCAATTTTATCTTAATAAAGCATTGAGTTTAAATTAATGTTTCATTTTTATGCTCATTTAGGTAGGTAAGTAGAGCGAGTGTACATTTTATCTTTAACTCTCTTCCTTCGTTGAACCTTTCTTTCACTCTTTACTGATATGTGCATCGCCCGTGCTCGTCCAAAGGCTCGCTCGTTAGTTTGTACAATAATTGGCCAGTAGAATAATTAATTAACTCCTAAACAAAGCCCTATTTACGAGTGTATGTTCATTGTTCAGGCATAGGTACATGCTTTTTAATTGCACTGTGCAACTGGGTGGAACCGATTTTAAATCTACCGCCAAAATCAACCCGCATGAACTGCGAAGGCGCGCTACTACAGCAGCAGCGCGACGACGGCCAACAGAGAAATCTCTCGCGCGCCGTACTTTTAAATCCCGCCTGTGCCCCAATTGTGCTAATTTATATCGTCTCCAATTCATTGAAGCCAGTTTCAGTTGTAAAATTGTTTTATTTCATCGAAAATTAGACATAGGGTGTCGCGCCATTAGGGTTAGCGCCTTTCTCACGCGGTTGAAGAGCTAGCGGCTATTTTAGATTTTCACAGAAACCCATCTAATTCATAAGCCATGCCTTGCGTTTTTTGCCTTTTGAATAATGACTATGGCACTAATCACATGCCACCTCCTAACAAAAAATCGTACCTGTCCATCAAGTCGTTCCGAAGATATGGAAATCTGCGAAATGTTACCGCAGCGCCATTTGCGATTATTCAAAAACTACAGGGGGCACAAATGTCGCTGTTTAACCATGGAAAGGCACAAATTTATGCTACCTTTTGAGATACTTTAATGTGGCTAAGGCTAAAAGGTGTAAAAATAATGTCGCTGCGGTAATGTTTTCAAGCCTTACTGCAGCAGCGGAATCTTATTTTCTCCGATTACTCCTAAAACTTATTGCGCACAAATTCTAGATTCTCGGCACATTTACAGGATATAAGGCACTTAACTTTTCCATAATGCACATCTTGATCAGCGTCACCATGTTGCTGAGGCCTGAGGTTACGTACACTGTTTTATGCATGCTAACAAGCATGTAATTTTATGACCATGTTTAACTGTGCCTTTATGTCATTCTATTCACAGCAACTTAAATACCTACTTATTAGGATTCGCCGTCAGCCGATAGGTAATTTCGGTATAGGCATCATACTACGACTACGACGTGATAGGTATTTAAAATTCAGAAAGTGAAAGGCAGTCATTTATGGTATGTATTTTTTATTTTGTAGAAAATTATAACGTAGTTACAAAATATTTTATCTATTTTTATTTAGCTAATATGATATAAACACCAACATAATTTATGTATTAAACCTACTTAAAATATTAGGAATTACTAAATGAACAGACTGGCCCGGTTTCTGATTGAGATTTTCAGCTTGAGCGTAACTTATCTTCTACTCCAGGATCAATTTAAATGAAAAGTTCATACTAATTAAGAGAGCACGCTCAAATCAAAAATATCAATTCAGAAACCGCGGCGGGGCACAAAATTGTAGCGCCGGTATTTAACAATTCTAACTGCGGTACTTTGTCGAAGCGTCGAAGAGTTGTTTGTTGTACTTTAGTTAGATTGAGCGTAATTATAAACGTTTATTGTGATCTCGAATTAAAAATCCAAGATACCTAGATTTAAGTAGCTAAGTCACAAAACTAGAAAACTGGACGTATGTTATGATGATGAGAATTCTTAGGTTGCAATAGGTTTTCTTTACGGTAAGCCTATGCGCAGACCACCGATTTTTAGTTGGCCGATAGTTGTGCCCGATTTTAAATTGTATGAAGAATCGGCCAAATCAAATCGGTCGCGGTGTAATGTGCGCACTTCCATACCATACATGCCCATACTGATCAACTGCCAGACTAAATAATCGGCCGACGAAAAATCGATGGTCTGCGCCAAGCCTAGGCTAATAAGTACTATCCGTTCGCTTTAAGTTTGCCGCTGGCGATGATATGACGTCACTTGAAGGGAAGCGTCTATAACTTTAACAAACTACATATATTTAAAATATTTTTTATTTATTATTATTGATAAAAAATGTGTATTTGCGTAAAATAAGACACATTAATTGCGTTTAATCGCGGTTGGACGAGGGGACGCGCATTCCACGGACCGGCAAACTTAGCGCGAACGGGTAGTACGTTACAACTTTAACTTTTTAACTACCTACCTCCAAAACCTGTCACAACTTATTAAAAAAACATCGCCCCTCAGTTCAATTTCTAGACAGCAATTTAATTTACAGACATGTTTTATGTTCAGCATTTTTGTAAAAAGCATTACCTAATGCTTTCACTGAAATCTCTGCGGTCTCAATCCACCACACGCACATGACTCACAGTCACATGACTGTGCAAGAATATAATAGAATATACATATTTATTTGTAATAAACGTGGTAAACAACACCTATGTATGGTGTTTTAAGTTTAATTCAGCATTGCACATTTAGATGAATTTTATAGCATACAAATATTCATAATTATTGTAACGTCACACTAGTAAGTGAGTGAGTGACTATTCAGAAATTCGTCAATTATTGTAGGTATACAGGGTGGAAACGATAAGTGATCTCATTCGATTATTTCTAAACTATACAAGATATCGAAAAACTGGTTACTAATCTTGAAAGTGCTTCACAAGCTCTATCCAACGGTACCAATGTTAGGTTACAGAATTAACTGGATCTATCCCAAAATTTAATGTTTTCAGCCTCCATACTAAATGTATGCCAGCCAAACAATAATGGAAGCATTTTTTTTTATTAAACAATAAACAATTAAAATGAACTCGTAAATTGCATTCTTATTTAAAATTATTCTTGAAAAACATTGGATTTAGGCTTTACTTGCTATAATATTAACAAGACATGAGTGCCATGACTGTGGCTGTACTGAATGTATGGAAGCTGGAAACATTGAATTATCAAATGGATCCAGTTTATTTCGTAACCTATTATTGGTACCGTTGGATAGTGCTCGTGAAGCACTTTCCGGATCAGTAACCAGTTTTTGAATATCTTGTATAGTTTTTAATATTATGTGGTTTTACTAAATGTATGGAAGCTGGAAACATTAAATTTTCGGATAGATCCAGTTTATTCTGTAACTTATTATTGGTACCGTTTGATAGAGCTTGTGAAGCACTTGCAGAATCAGTAATTAATTTTTCGATATCTTATATAGTTTAGAAATAATCGAGTGAGATCACTTAACGTTTCCACCCTGTAGAAGACATTTGGTATAAGCCATTTTCGTCACATTCACATTTATTACAAATAAATATATTCTATTCTATTACAAGTAATCATAAAATGTTATAAATCTCTTTTTGGCTTATCGCGCAAATTTTTTACAATAATGTACTTAAAATACAATAACATAACAAATGTTGCCTACATAGGAATCATCTTATGTCATACTCTAACTAATCGCCCCGTGCTTTCATTAAATTTGCCTATTGATCCTTTAGGATCAGGAGATAATGAACTCCAGCCAGTAGAAGGACAGTGTTCAAACTTATGATTACCACAGAGAGGCTTAAGTTTTACATCATTAAGACTAGACGATGCAACACAAGTTCCTAAAACACTGTAAAAACTAGATGTAAGATTATCTATCCACTCTCTTAAATCTTTGTTCACTCTTTTTATATTTGAATTCGAAACCTTTTTTAGCAATAACCGTTCATTTTCGTTCGGTAGAAAATTCACAATGTTTATGTTAGAAAAGTTCTTGTAAGCACTTTGAGATCCACTGTGAATAATCGTCGCTTCGTGGTGACTAATTTCTTTTCCAGAAAATAATTCTAGAGGAGTTATAAGGAATTTAGTAAATACTATAAATTCAGAATTTTCAAATAAACCCACTTTCCAAATACCTGGAAGTAAAGGTATTTTTAAATTGGGTTTAATGAAATTCGTTAGATTATTTTCATCGACATGAAGGTGGTTGACATCGGCTATGACGCCAGCAGGATCCAACCAAAGAACCGTCAGATTTTCACCTTTTTTATCGATATCTGAAGAAAATTGATACAGCAAATTTGGCTCTGATAAAGGGCCTAATATGTTAGCAAAGTTTCTGAATGTGATTTCTTTTTGATCATATTCTGAACTAACTTTAAATGTTTTAATTATATCTACATAACGACTTTCAAAGTTAAAGTCTAATATTTGTTTCGGTTTATACCATGTCTCTAACAATATGTTATCACCATTATCTAGAATAGCTTTATGTAAAATTAGATTCCCTTTATAAGTATCTGCAAAATTGTATAAACTAATTTCAATTACTTCATCAGGTTCCAACAAACAACCTTCTTGGTTTAAAATGTTGGCGTTTTGTCTTAAGATACTAGCTGCATGAGTCAACATCAAATCATCTGTACTCGAAGTCAAGTCATCAATATTGTAAATGCTTTGCCAGTATGCCTCCAAATTTTGTAGTAGGTAGTGATCTTCAAATCCTATAAACTGTTCTACTCTAGTTATCACTTCTTGATTGATTATGGGTTCGAATTTTCTTGCGAAAAACAGTTGTCGATCTTTCGTATTTTGTATTCTAGGCCAGTCCTCGGTTTTGAAATCATTAGGAGAGCATCCACACCAATCTACAACATGTTTATACTGACATTTGCAACCCAACTTTCTTTTCCAATTGGTCACATGTAAATTATTATCAACATATGTATTACAGAATTGGGAATTCCTCAATACTGTGTGAAAAAATGACTCTGCAGGTAAAAGCGTGTGTTGAAAAATAACATCTAAACCTGCTAATAGTTCGTCATGCTCTCCAGCAACATATGCTACGAATTTAGGCGACAAAGCTATCCAGTCGCTTCCGCCATCAATCACTACTCCCCGTGGCAGCTTTCTGTCGCCAACTCGCCACATGTGGGTTTCACATTCAATAAAAGTTTTGTCTAATCCTTGTTTCTTAATAAATCTCTGAACTTCACGGCCATGTGATTTAACAAAGTTTAACCCCTTGTTTGCAGATAAAAAGTTTTCTAAATCTTCAATCGATTTGATTGGGAAATCACTTTCACTTAAATTAATCACAAAGTCCCATTCCCAATCTAAGGTTAATATGTCTCTCATAGAAGTCAACAGCATTTTTAGCAATGATGCTCCACCCCATATTGAGGAGAATCTTTTTTCCGCTAATTTTATGTTTGAAAATTTGGTCTGCAGTATAGACAGCTTACGATGCAAGTAGTCTTGGCGCTGAAAAAAAAGAGTTGAATTTATTTAATACCTACCTACAAAGGTCTTGAAGTACAAACTTTGTTTTGTATTTTTAAATCATTAAATTTTACTTTGTTGTAGTGTTAAAATTAACCAAACTATTTAATAATAAAAATGTGAATATAATCAAATTTTGTAATCCATCATCATTATTTGATTTTCAATACTTCAGGTTATGCTTTACTTGATGAACTTGAAGATATCATTAGATTCTGATTTAAACCATAATCACACACACTAGGAAGTAATGTAACTGTGGAGGTAAACCTTGACCTAAAGGTTCAGCCAAACCATCACGATCAGATGGCGATCAGATTTAAACGCATTGATCGCCATTGCTGCTCGCCGGCTGATTGCGTTGGTTTGCCTGAACTTTAACAAGAATTTACTATGGAACATAATATGGATGGAGGGATTAGCAGGAACTCTATTGTTTTGAATTTCAATTAAATATTTAAAAAGAAAGCACACTTACCTTATCCACATGGATATAAAAATAATGATTGCTCCGATAAAGTGCATTGATTAGTCTATTAACTTGTCTTACAGCTCGTCCATTCAGTGTTAAAAGGAATATTATTCTTACAGATTCTTGTTTTTGATTCACAGTTATGGGTACATGTGGCACAAATTCTGAAATTAAAAAGTAGGTAAATCTAAATATACAGATAAATTTATTTGTTCAAAACATGTTGTACCTTTGCTATGTACAAATTAAATTAATATTAAACAATAAGTATGATTACTATAGATAATATAGAAGTGAGTTGTTGGTTGATCTCTGCAGTTCTTTGAGTTTCCTCCACAAATATTTCTTATGAGAAATGAGATAAGGCAACTTTAGCATTAATTAGTACTTAATTCTTTCAACTATATTATATTATTTTCATCTAGTTCTAGGTTGAATCTATTTAAATAAATAAATATATAAAACTAACAAGACTATGTTAATAATTACTTTTGTATTCATACTTCATAAATGAGTATAAACAGCAAGCTTACTTTCTAAACCAGTTTCAAATACATTCATTGTGAAATAGCCTCCACACATTTCAGTGGGGTTTCCCGGACATTTCATATCACATAAGTGATCCTCAATTTTTGATGTTGTTAAGGGTGCAGTTTCTCCACAAAAACATTCAGTTCTGAAATATTTAAAAATAAATTATAAGAATTACATCAGAGATTAACAACACAGTATCTTCTATTATTTAGATAAAATTCTAATAGGATTAATTTTGGAGGAACCTAGAGAACCTAAGGAAGAACATAGATCTCAATGAAAGACGCCTCAAGCAAGAAACCAGTCTATAGAAAATAAGAGTTTCAAAAATAAAGAAATGTTTTGTTATCTGTTACACATTTCGGAATATAACACTCACGAGTATTGAACTCCAGCAAAAGGAAAACCAGCTTGGACACAAATATCTAAACATGAACTGTGCGAGTTGGTTGAAGCATAATTTCCATAATAACTAGATAGCAGTCTAAGTTTTTTTTCATCCTTATAGCAGCCCAAATGTTTTCCATATACTACATCTTTTCCGACACAATAGTTAGGTAAACTTTTAGGGTAATAATTTCCTCCTTGAATTAAACATGTAAGATTGACTATTTCTTGTTTACAGTTTTGTGTCTTAGCTCTATGTATTGCAGATATGGCTTCTCTGTTTTGAATTTCACAGGGGGGTTTAAAATCCAACTCTGCTAGTCTTAGATATGAAGCGGGTTTGTTAGGATTTTTCACAGTAAAATCTTCGTCGTCAATATATCTGACATCAGATTTTCTAGCTGAAACACCAGCTATTTCCTGCTTCTCGACATTTCCATGTGATTTTGTTTTTAACAAATGATCATTTTCAGTGGGGAAATAATTTATTGCAAGTAATAATTGGACAAAAAATGCGATTAACACCGTTATCACCAGGCACTTAGTGTACTTGTAGTAAAATCTTCGAAAACTACACGCCATTTCACAGTATGGTGATTATCACATACACATTCCATTTAGGCAGTAGAGATTTTACATTAGGAACATAATTTATATGAGCTTTTAATTAATTATTACAAAGATTCAGCGGCAACTTTAGCAAACGAAACACGAAGAATAGCAAGAAGAATAAAATGACAATTTAATTTTGACAGCTGAGCCGACTGCAGAACATGAAGCTACAGATAAAAATGGAGGCCACACTCCGAATACCTACTTGAAGCACAAACTAAGTATCACTATCTCGCTCTCTGTGGGCAGACTCGCTCTTTCTAAATAAACAAAAAATATAAAATTGCTCAAATTCAATGAAACCAATGTAAAATCTTTATTTCTTGACATATAGACTAAGAGCTAGTGAACGCCAGACCTACGTTATTTTATAAAGGCTGAAAGTTTGTCAGCGCATGCTCCCAACATAGCTAAGAACCATGGCCAAACATGAAGTTTGGGTCATGGTGGCTTTGGCAGACAGACGGTACTAAAGGTGTGTAAAATACCAACTTAATTACGTCAAAGTANTATTCTAGTTTTCTCGAGAGCCTGCTTCTTCAACTTCATAAGTAAAATTGGGTTATCTGCCCCCCTAGACAAAACGCACTTTTTGATCGAATCGAAAATCGAATCCGTCAAAACTCCATACAAAAAAGGAGCTTTTCGACCACTTTTCGACTGGTTTGCGATTATAATTTGCACTTTGTCTAGACCCACTGAAGAACAAAATAATTGAGAATGTATAGTTCCAAAATACTGGACTGTCCTGTCGATGACATTGACAGTGGGGCGCCACCGTCAATACCGGATCGCTGGTTCAGATTTTTGCCATGTTGGAAACCATATAGTTGAACGAAGGTAGCGCCCCCCTGTCATTGAGTTTGGTGGGACAGTTCAGCGTGGGTCATCTATACATGTCTGCAGCTTTCTCAAAGGCCCTAGAGCAATTCTAAGTATGCCATAAATAAAAACCTAATTAGAGTCATCAAACGTCTCAGTCATTAATTTAGTGCCACTAGAAACACCTTGTTGATCAAAACTGATGTCTTTTTGTATTTTTGGGTTATTATTAAAGACAACGCCCATCCAACTCCAAAACCCCGAAAGCTTTCAGCTCGAACTGCAAAATCGTTTCGAATGCCTAGGAGACTGCGGAAATGTGGACGAATACAGTGACAGGTTCGTGGAAATTGTCCAAACGACTGGGTCTAAGTTCTTTAAAACCCGTCGTTCAAAAAGAACCAAAAAGATCTCTGACCTCACCAATCAACTCATGGAAGAGAGACGGAACTTGGTTCTGCAGTCCTCTGAAGATGCTGCTCAGTATCGGCGTCTTAACAGACAGATCTCCAAGTCTTTGACTCGCGACTTACGCCAATTTAATACAGACCGTATTAAAGAGGCGATCGAGCGAAACAAGGGCTCTAAAGTGTTCGCAAGAGATCTGTCTGTTGGCCAAAGCCAACTGACCAAGCTGAAAACCGAGGATGGCAGAGCCATTTCGTCGGGGCCGGAGATATTGGAAGAGGTTGAGAAGTTCTACGGACAATTATACACGAGTGTACGCACACCTGTCACAAATCTAGCCGAAGACCCAAGAGCTAGATTGATCCGACACTATACCGAAGACATCCCGGACGTCAGTCTGTACGAGATTAGAATGGCTCTCAAACAGCTAAAGAACAACAAGGCACCGGGTGATGATGGAATCACGGCTGAGCTTTTGAAGGCAGGTGGAACGCCGATACTGAAGGCTCTTCAGAAGCTGTTCAATTCCGTCATCCTCGAAGGAAAAACGCCTACGACATGGCACAGAAGTGTGGTGATACTCTTCTTCAAAAAAGGTGACAAAACCTTGTTGAAGAACTATAGACCCATCTCACTTCTGAGCCATGTCTACAAGCTGTTTTCGAGAGTCATTACGAATCGTCTCGCTCGCAGGCTCGACGACTTCCAGCCTCCCGAACAAGCCGGTTTCCGAAAAGGCTTTGGTACCATAGACGAGGCTTGCCTGGAAATGGTGAGATGTAAGTGCAAGAAGTAGAAGAAGTGTATTATTAATAAGAAAATATATTGAAAATTTGACATGTAATTCTTATTATTCTTATTCTGAAGTAGTGCAGAAGCTGGTGCTGTCTGAAAAAAAAACAACTAAAACGGTCATAGCCGTAACCTTTGTACCTACTAAAAATATCTCCCGTACTATGATTGTGAAACCTCTTTTTCCTCACANGAGTCACAGTAGTTGTTGTGCACAGATGTTTGCCTTATGATGAGAGCGTGAATTATTGAACTCTGCCCTTGTTTTGTTCTTAATTCTTCTACATCTCGGACTTGTCCAGCCAATACCAACAACTTTCCTTTAAATACGGTTTGTGGTTGGATTTTGATATTGTAACACTCACAAACCCGGTCTTCAAAACAATACTAATTTCGATCTGAAAACGATATTTAATTTATTACTAGCGATACAGGAACATTTAATTATATTTACTGTTATATAATTAAACCGTTAAAGTAGCTATTTCTTTTTGTTTTACTGTAAAACTACAACTATAAATGAAGTAAACAAACCCTAACACAATCAAAATTCAACACAATTTTTGGACTTACCTCATTTGATTTGAATGACCAAAATTATTTCAAAACCTTTTTTCCACCCAAATCGTGGTATTCACAACAATTTATTAGTCGAAAATATTTGTTATTTTTTCATTTCGATATTTTTCACAAATATACGACCTAAATGTCAATGTGACAGAGCCCTCAAAGTTGTGGACGCTAGTTGGCGCTGTAATCGTGCACGGAGCCAATACTACAGTTCACACTAAAAAGAGAGGTAGGGCCGCAGAGAGCGAGATAGATATAAGTAGGTATTTGACTCAAGTTTTTGTTCCAACTCTGCCCTCCATTTTTATCTTTAGCTTCATGCTGCAGAACTGTCAAGGCAAGGCAAGGCATTATCTGTGGACAAGGCGTTACACTACGCTCTTTTTGCATGGGTTTTTTTACTACATGACATAATGGTGCCTGGCCTGGATGCCGGGTCACTGTGCATTATCCATATCTGTGGTGCATTACCTTAAACATGGACTGGACAGGAGATGAAATGCGAATGAATGAATGTTTCATCTCCAGTCTACACTCCAGTTACCACAGATATGGATAGATGCAGCATGTGTCAAAAATTGTATGAAGCCGAGCGTGCCACTTTTTAAACGTCATTAGTGTCATTTTAGCGAATTTTAGTGATTGCCGCAACGTAAAAGTAATCGTATCATCGTACTGCATTCGNAATTTTTAGTGATCTGGCGATTGGGACCGCGGTCTTAGTTGATTGCGGTCCCAGTTGGCGGAAACCTCGGGTCGGGTATCACTCATCCATCAGAGATTCGTAAATCTAATTAATCTATTTAATACCCACAGATAAATCATATTTTACTAACTAAATCACCTAAAAGTAACCTTTTCATTAGTGTAACCTAAAAGTAAACCAAAGCAGTTCAAAAATCAGCTAAAAGGTTACAAAAGTAACCTTCTGGCAACACTGACTGTTTCTCATTATTGCAGTCAACTGTCATCTTTTTTTTTAATACAAGTTTTACGGCTATGGATATTGGATATAGATCCTTACTTTTATTGATAATTCTAATTTAATTTCCCGTGAAGAACCACGAAGCAAAAATGAGAGAACAATTTTATTGTTCGAACTGACATTTCTTCTAACAAACCAGAAAGCCCCATTATTCCTGAACAAACACCGCTATCGCCAAATGGATTAATGCAACCACCATCACCTGTGAAAATGCACAGACACTCCGAAAATCCAACTCTAATTATTCAACACAAAGAAAGCACATCACATGTTGTTATACATCAAATGGAGAATCCCAGAGCATACAGCAATAGGTCGCCTGCTCAAAACCAACATCTTAGAGATATGCGCGGACCGTCTCCTATGGCGCAAAATCATCATCATCAAGATAAATTGGGAAGCATATCGATACTATCGATAGTATTGATAGTTTTTTATTTAAAAGCGACAATACTATCGATAGTATCGATACTATCGATAGTTTATTCTTCACGAGCAACAATACTATCGATAGTATCGATAGTATTGCACATATTCAATAGTATTGCCTCGTTTTGAGCTATCGATAGTATCGATAGTATCGACAGTATCGATACTATCGATAGGCCAATCGATAGTCTTGCGATAGTTTGACTATCGATAGACTATCGATAGACTATCGATAGTCGACTATCGATCGGCAACACTAGTCAATTCCTCACGTTAATAAAATATTTTTGCTGCTTGCTGTGCATTTAATTTTGCTCCATTTTGTATACATTTTACCAGTTTCTTCTAATAATATTTGTGCACAGTGGTTTAGATAGATATTGCAGCTTTCTTTATCTGGTGCTAAATGATTGTTATTTAAAAAGGTCGTCGATTTTACTCAAAAATGGATATCCCAGTACAAATAGCAGTAAGGCTAAAACCTCCAAGCCTAGCTGACTCGACTCAATGTATATTTAGTAATCCAGTCACTCAGATTGTAATCACGGAGAGTGGACAAACATTTCATGTAAACAGGGCTCTACCATTGGACTGTACTCAAGCCAATTTGTTTAACTCATTCATGATACCCCAAATCAATTGCTTCTTGGATGGCTGCGATACTTCTGTTGTTGTGTTTGGTCAGCCAAAGACAGGAAAAACATACACTTTATTTGGTTCAGGCAAGTAATTGAATTCAACTTTTTTTAATATGCTAAAATATATTATTATTTTCATGTTCAAATCATTACTATTTCATGGGTTTCAGGTTTTGAATGCATTCATAGTGAGAGTGATCAAGGAATCATACCAAGATTTCTCACAGAAATATTCCATAAACTCAATCACATGCCAGAAAGGGAGTATATCTTGCACATAACATGGATGCAAGTTGTAAACAATAACATCTTCGATGTTCTGGGGGCAGGGTTAGTGAGATGCTACAATGTTGAAGAAGCTTTTCAGTACCTACAGATGGGCTGGAGACAAAGGTGCCCGGGGAACAACCATACGGTGTTCACAGTTAGTGTAGAACAAAAGTGGGTGGGCACCAATGGTGTGCTTAATCACAGAATGTCAACAGCTAGTTTCTGTGACCTAGCAGCCTACCCGGAGCCGGGCCTTTTTGCTCTTGAAAATATAATTAAAGAGCTGTTGGCAGGAAATCCACCAAAACAAATTAATTATGACCAATGCATACTCACAGCGATGCTCAGAGATTCATTTGGTGGCAGAGCCTTTACATGGGTTATAGGCTGTATCAGCACAGAGCCTGAAGATTATCAGGATACTCTCAAAATATTGAACTTATGTCTATGCTGCAGAGGCATAAAAAATTTTGTGACTGTCAATCTCTTTGCTGATAACAACACTCCCGTTTACCCTGAGAAGACAATGCCTCCTCAAAATGAAAATAATTTTAACTTGCAATTTGCTACAGCTCAGTGGATAAAACTGGTTTCAAATGCTGAAGGACTTTTTAACAAAATTCTTCAATCAAAATCACTGTCTGAAGCTGATATTAACCAAGTGACTGAGTGGTTGTTTTTAAAGGCTGAATGTGATGAATGTTTAAGTACTGATGTTGGAACTGATAACAAAGATGCTGGACCCAAACAGGGATTACCTAGAATTGCTGAAGACACAGAACCAAGTGAGCCAAGTGAGACTGATGGGGAGAGTGATTCCGAAGATAGTCATTCAGAGACAGTATTCCAGGATAAACTTGAAAAATTCATGGAATATTTTAGAGAGAAGAATGATCAACTTTTTGCTGATCGCTGTGAGGAGTACTTGAATCATATTGATTCTGATGATATTACAATATCAGAGACCAGTGGCTCTCAATCTTTGCCCATCATGACATCCCAGTCCAATTCAGGACGCCGGCGAACAATACAACCTGGGGAAAGTCTATCTGGTGCAGAGTTAGAGCTATTACGAAAAGTAGCAGCAAAAGCTATTTCACCTGAATCTCAAAAGATATTAATAGAATCACACAAAAAAGATCTTGATCCAGAACCAAAGTTAATAGAGAGAGAGCTATTGAAGATGATAGATTCACCAAAGACTGACGAAATATGCAAGAAATATAAAATAACAAAAGAAAAATATACACAAAAGCAGATTTTGGCCCGTAAATTATCCAAAGAAATCAGTTGCAGTCAATCACAACTGAAGGAACTGATTAATTTGTGTATAGCCAAAGAGCGATTAATTGATGACCTTTCAAGGGCAATGTCTCACAATACACACAACAAACTAATTAATAATGTGCTAGTTGACCAAGATACCTTGAAAGAAATAAGAAGACATGAGTCAAGTTTGAAGACTTATAAAAAACAGATTGATCAAATTAAAAGACAGATAAAAAAGGATGAGAAGCGTAAAAATACCTTAGATGTAGAACTTGTAAAAGATAAATTAAAATTAGATGAACTTTCTGAAAGTTCCCTAGATGTTAAAGATAAGAAAACTAACTCATTAAAGCATTTTACAAATAGAATTACTCAGTTAGATAGTATATTGAAAGAGAAAACGAATGATTTAGAAAATTTGGAACTATCAAAAGAGAAAGAGCTGATGTTGAGAAAGGAGATTAAAAACTTGCGTAAAACTCGAGAATGTTTACATGAACAACGATGCAGTTTAGGACATAAGAGAAAAATTTATAAATCTCTTTCAGATTCAGAGGTGATAAAGATTTGATTTATTTTATACCAAAGAATACAGGAACAAGTATCATATTAACAAAAGTTGTTTTTTTAAATTTTTCAGGAGCGCAAATTATTAGAGTGTGAAGAGGCTATTGAGGCCATAGACACTGCCATAGAGTATAAGAACAATCTGATTTGTGGCAAATCACCTTCTGCTTCCCTCTCCGACACCCAGGATAACAGGGACTCGAGGACTCGCGGCGAGCAGATGTTGATGGGAAGGCTTGACAAATTGTCTCATGATGAAATGAAAACTCTTTTGTATAGGTATTTCCAGAAGGTAAAATATTTTGGTTTCTGTACTAGTAAATTCAGTGTTGTTGTTGTAAACTCCTATGTTCAGCAGTGGACGTCCTGTGGCTGAAATGATGATGATGATGATGAATAGTAAATTAACTTACTTTATTTAGGACTTTTAGTAAGTAACCCCTCCAGCTACAATTAAGTTACAGTTATGTTAGAACGAACGAACGAACGATGTTAGAACTGATTGATAGTGGTAGACCTCAAAAGTTCAGTAAACGATGGAGATCCAACTACAGACCCTAAGGCTAAAATTAACAGTATGACACTAAAATTGTTGGCTATTCTATTGTCCCCTATTTGTTAAATTGCTAATTTCCATTGGAGCAGATTATAAGCATCAACTTGGTGAATCTATAACAGTAGGTAAATAGATTAAATCTTTTAATTTCCAATCAAAGAAGTCTTTCAGTCAAGTGACTGGATCGAGTTTTGAGAGTTGTCATACACATGAACCGTGTACATAATTCTTGTCTGCGCTAGATACGAACGCGGACGCGCATTGTGTGACAAATTTTCGTAGCTAAGTCCGACGAAAGTCTTGTCTTCGGCAGACACGGTGAAATTTCTTATCGTGTACAAGAAGCTTTATAATAAAGGTGGTGGACCTGAGAGGCGCGTGCGCGGCGTTGGAAGCGGGCGTGGCGGCGGCGGCGGACGAGGCGGCTGCGTGGCGCGCCCGGGCCGCGGCCGCGTGGCGGCACGCGCAGCGCATGCGTCCTAACGCGCACACGCGGTATTTATCATCTTTAATTAACCTTATCTATAGCCTGACCAGGAACATAAAAACCCTCGCCATATTGCGGAAAACTAATGGTACTAATTTCTTTTAATGGCAACAGTAACTAAAAACTTCATTGACATGTCACCTTGCATGTCAGTCTATTGTTGTCAAAGTGTAAACAAACTTTATTTTAAATGTGCGCAATTGATTTTGTGCATGAAATTGCTAAAATCTTTTATAGTCGTGAAAGAAAAGTGGTTCACAATGTGTTAAAGTATTTGTCGGAAGAGAAATACCAAGGGTTCGGACAATATTTTCATTGAAAATGTTTCCAATAAAGGTTGTCAAATTGACTGACATGTTTATCGTATAGTACAGTCCACTATGAAAATTAGCTGTGGTTTGTTTCAACTACCTATTTTAAAGTTTTTTGTCACTTTCTAAAAGTTGAATTTTATGGAATTGGGAAAGAAGTACCGAGTTTGAAGCGTTCATGAGCAGACATTGCAGTTGAATATTCAAGTTCTGAATTTGGTTATTGATGAATAATAAAATAAATCCTACTAGTTCGATTGATGGTTTCATTTAATTTATTTAAACCAGGTTACCTATAATAATATTTTTTCGTTAATTTATGAAAATATCAAATTAGCCCATAATCCTGAATCCTGAGCTGAAACATAAAGTTAGCCTATTAATTTAACACAGGTACGACTGTACTCAGTGTTGCACTATCAAATGCAATTGAAGCGCCTCTATGCCAGGGTTTTTATGTTCCTGGTCAGGCTATACGTAAAATGTACGCCAGTAATCATACTCCACCGATCAACCAAATCAAACATGAACATGAACCATCTGGCAGTGGAAGTTTAAGCCGGATTATTTAGATATTAAAAAGATAAAATAACTCAGCTTAAGATTTCCGTCTAGTGACGCCGGATTATTTGTCTGACGCGTTGTGGTCTCGTGACGCATCAGATCGTAATCGGTTTCATACATTTCATCATTCATATTCATCATACATCATCATTATTTTTTAATTTGGTCACATTTGAATGTGCAGATTTTTTACTTTTTCCTTAAAATTTCCAGCCACTTCCACTCGGTGCATCGATACCTAGACGGTGGTAACGCGGAAAGAGCTCTGTCGCTCGGCATGACCACCGACTCGGAGACGTCAGATGACGCTATGCGGCTGGTAGACCGCATGAAACAGCTAGCGAGGTATCCTCCGGTGAGTAAACATCATCTTAGATTTCTTATTGACTTGTTAGAACTAGGTTCTCATAACAGTGATTGCGAGTTGTTTTTGTTCCACTAACACGTTGGGCGCCAAAATGTAGAATTTGGCGCCCAACTTGGGGCTATGAAAAAACATGCCATTGCTTGGATGGTGCAAGTACCGGTAAATAATTTAAAGCTACAATATAAATTGTGAATTTTATTAAATGTACAAAGTCTCTTTTCGAACTCGAAGCATACTTGATTACTATACTTACGAGCAAAAGTATACAATCACCCCTTTGTATTCCGAGCGGTCTTAAGAACTGAATGACTATGTATTGTAATTATGTATCAATGACAATTTTAAGTTTATAATATCACCTTTAAAATGGTATCATTTTTATTGATATTTTATTAGTCATTTAATTATTATAATCCCTCGGAACACATAGGGTGATTCCAAATTTTTGCTTGCGAGTGTAGTTTAGTAGTACAGATAAAGGTAAACAAAAGCATCTTATTCAGTATCTTATTAAGTGATAGTTGCGATTTTGCATTAAAAACGTATACTAATTCATGTCTAATACTTTCAGGCCCCAGTTATCCCCAGTCAGAATCTGAAGCAGCTGATGCCAGCCACGAATATACCCGTTGCCAAGGTGACCAAGGAGAAGAACAAGCTAGTCATAGTCCAACAGCAGAGTAAGCGCAACTGATATTTGCATATTACGTTGATCATGATCAACTTTAACATCATATTGTTCGTACTATTCTCGTACTTGCTGAGGCAGCTGCTTCCGTATATCATCAACTTCGCAAGCAAATACGACTCGGAGGAATAAACGGACGCGAACTTTGACTCTTATGGCTAATAATAATAAAGACGAAAAGGTTGTGATGGTTTATGTGGACAGATTTTTAAAAAAAGGTGCGTGATTTGACTTCGTTGTGAAAAGGTTGTGGTGAACTTATCTGTGGAACATTTTGGATGATCTCGAGTGTTGGGATTGAAGTATTTGTTTTGGCTGTTTTTACAATGTCCAAGTATTATGATCTCCATTGTGAAGTGTGTCGATTTTTAGTACGCAATCAAAAATGCTCTTAGTTATAAAAGTAATAATACTCTTTTAGAATACTCGTACAATAGGCTACATGGTCGTCAATGAGTTTAGATTTATGTCTAAAATGTACAAAATAATTATGTAGTATTAATGTAGTTTCTGTCATCTATTAGATAATATTTATGTATGTAATGTTATACTTCTTTCTATATGATGCGATGTGTCGATGGTTAACATTTTTGCATATTTAATATCGTAAATAATTATATATTCTTGATGATAGATAAGATATTCTAGTCTTTATATTCACTTTCATCGGTAAGCTGCTGCTCCTAGGAACTATACCTACGCTATTACAATCGTGAGCATTTTTATTATGAGATTCTATATGTAATGTAATTGAGAATGAGAGAATGTCTCCAACTTCCTCATTGGCCCTAGAGCAATTCCAAGTATACCATCAATAAAAGCCTAATTAGAGTCATCAAACCTCTCAGTCATTCAATTAGAGCCATTAGAACTTCATAACTATGAGTTGTTTTCTATGTGTAAGCTGAGGACACGTGTCTCCAGCTGACACATCTGTATCTTCGTAAATATTTATGCTACGATAATGTATTATACCTCAAAAATTACAGTCGAATCCAAATAGTAGGCTTTCCACTTTTCAAGACTTTAGCTCAAATACTGTTAAAACCACGATCAAAAAACTATGTGCGAGCTGGAGTACCGTGTCTCCAGCTTACACATCTGTATCTTCGTAAATATTTAAGCTACNTGAACCCTCAGCGTGCACCGTCGGCACTCTACACCGACGGCACACTAACAAATACCTTTAAATGTGTACAAACAATAAACCATGTATAAATAGCATAACATAATACCAATAAACCAGATATCAACCGTCCGTCGTTGTGTCTCATTTCCCCCCGCTGCGGCCAAGACACCCATAGCCGTCGCTATGATCAGTCCGGTGAGTCTGCCGGGCTGGCAGCGGGTCCCCGCCGCCTACCTGCCGTCCTAACGCTGCTGCCCTGGGCGACCTGGGCACAGCTACCTTCCTATCAAACTCTTATTATGTCTAAGTATATATTGTTAGGCAGGGCTAGGGCTCTAGGGACTTAGTGTCTTAGGGAATAGGGACTCTAGGCTCACTAGGGAGTTAGTCCCCTTCCTGACCGCATATCCCGGGCACGGGAGCGGTGCCTTACAACCACTGCCTCCCGCCCGTCCAGTTGGCTTACTCGTATAAACCACTCAGATATGTCTACATTTACTCGATTTAAACATAACACGACTACTTATTCTGGAATCCCTATTTAGCAACCTTTTACTCAAATGATGAATGAAATTGTGTACAAATGAGATGGGCTATTCCAAAACACACATTTTGGTGATTGTACTACTTTAAATGTCAATTACATTGGGTTTATTAGTTGGGCAATCAGTTAACTGTTTGTACTTCTTAACTGAAACACATCGCGTCGCTTTATAAAAACACTTCTATTATAAAATTCCACATTCTAAAACCAAGCTGCCACTTTTATTGCTCAATGCAGCCTCACTTTTCAAAAATAAAGGTGTAATATAAATAAACTTTTATTAATCTTTATAACAACTGAAAAACCCAATAGCCATACCTTCCCAAGCCTCCCGTCTTCGTCGTCCTCACGCCAGCGGTCGACGACCCTCTCCAGCTTGTCCTTCAAGTATGGTATAAGCACCAGCAGCGCCAGCGAGCCCTTCTCCAGCCAGTAGGGCAGGCGCTTGTGCTGCGGAGTCAACTCTGAGCTGAAGGACACTGGCACCCGCAGCAGGCCGTAGAAGCTCTCCGAGAATGAGGCCGCTGGAAGTACATGAGAGAAATGTGGTGAATGAGACAGGCAGAAAGTCTTCAATCTACTAGAAATACTGTTAAATCTTCTCCAGATGTAATTTTACAAAATGAATCTTTTCTAGATGTCTTGTTACAAGCTTATAAAACTATGTTACCTACAATATATGTATAATATAATAAAAATAAACTTTTTTAAAAACAAGCTTTTCTGAATTTCGAAAGTTTGTATCGCGCATGGAATTTATTCCTCTTTTTCTCTGTTTGCGCTACAAGCTTTCGAAATTCAGAATAAAAGCTTGTTTTTAAAAAAGTTTATTTTTATTATAATTTTATTTTACTCTTTTTAGTTATATCTTAATCTCAGGACCCTGGACGTTATCTAACACTAAAGTGCTCGAAAAGACAAATCCAACGAACCCAAACTCGATGAGTTTCCGCCGTTTTGTTTAGGAGTTCCTATGGCCACCTCCCGACTCCATCATCAGACCAGCTCAATGGTACCATAATATTGCATTGTCATCGGACTTACACATGTATGCAAAATTTCAGCTCAATAGGAAACCGGGAAGTGGGTCAATTTTAAGTTGCAAGATTTGACGACAGACACCAGACATGTGAAAGTAATAAAAAGCTTAATTATAACGAATTATTTGATCTTTAAAACGCAACTCTAACTTATACGGTTTTAATAATCCACCGTGTGTTACGTGTCACCAGCTTACACATACGTATCGGTTCGTAGTTCGAAAACGGTTCGAAATAAAGCTTTGAAAGAATTGAAGTCGGGTTTTTTTATTCGACTTTAATTTATGAGATATAAAACATTGATGTAGCTTAAATATTTACGAAGATACAGATGTGTAAGCTGGAGACACGGTACTCCAGCTCGCACATAGTTTTTTGATCGTGGTTTTAACAGTATTTGAGCTAAAGTCTTGAAAAGTGGAAAGCCTACTATTTGGATTCGACTGTAATTTTTGAGGTATAATACATTATCGTAGCATAAATATTTACGAAGATACAGATGTGTCAGCTGGAGACACGTGTCCTCAGCTTACACATAGAAAACAACTCATAGTTATGAAGTTCTAATGGCTCTAATTGAATGACTGAGAGGTTTGATGACTCTAATTAGGCTTTTATTGATGGTATACTTGGAATTGCTCTAGGGCCAATGAGGAAGTTGGAGACATTCTCTTTATATTAGATTACCCACCGAAAACTACAAAAATATGTAGATATTATTATCTTATAAATACAGTAGAATGTAAATATATGTGTGTTTTTAGCTATTAATGATAAATAAATGGTAGTCTTAAATTTTTTACTTAAATCAATCGTGATATTATTAAACTAATAGTTAAACCATATAAGATATTTTTTGCGATTTTTCGTACTTATCATAAGACTGCATATAATGTAAATAAGTCCCTTAAATTATATTTTGTCTTAATTTAATATACATAATTATTATGAGTATGGATGTTGTAGGGTTAAGATAATGTACACACAACATTATGTTCATATGTATATTTTATTTTACACTTTTTTTCATAATATTACCTACTTATATCACAATTTATAGAATGTAGACTATTTGAAATCCCAAGGAATGCACAACACTCCATCAGATAGTACCGAGTAGTAATGGGTTATGTACAAAATGTTGCCTTGTAGTATCTGTAAAGAATAAAAATGACATGTAATCTCAATTTGTAATTTGTGCACTGAATACAATTATTTGTAAAATTGTGTTGTTTATTTAATAAATTTACATAAACAGTGAGATAAGCAGGGCCCCGACTGCGCTAATTTGTAATGAGTGCAATTCTATCGCGTTTCATCTCTAGTCCACACTCCAGTTACGATCCAATTTCATTTCAGCTGAAGTGCAATTTGGTATCGCGGTAAAGTTTACGCGAAAACAAAGACGAAAAAACGGATTTATGCACTTTCCATTAAAATTATCTGCAGCGCGTCGTCAAGTCGCCTAAGCCTAGGCGCAGACCACCGATTTTTTGTCGGCCGATAGTTTAGTCGGGCAGTTAATAATTATGGGCATGTATGAAAGTGTGCACATTACACTGATTTGGTATCGGCCGATTTTTCATACAATTAAAACGGGGCCCAACTATCGGCCAACTAAAAGTTGGTCTACGCCTAGGCTAAATGTGAAAGCGCTCTTACCGTGCCGATTTTGTCTACTCGAGTGAGCAATCTTTGGCAACACGAGATCATCAATCCGGGCGTTATGCTGTCGTCTTTGTGGAGTTCTAGAAGCCCGAATCTTTCCTTCACTTCCTTATGGAGCGCTCTTTCGACATGTTTGTTTCTGGAAGAAAGTCGTCCATTTGTCTTATTTTCCTTTGGTACGTTAATCTTACCAATTGCATATCAGATTTTGTAATAAACTTTTTTATAGTCTATAACCATTACTATTTTGTTAGTCAATTGAGGTTCTTTCTTGGCCAGTAGGTAGGTAGGTAACTTACATGCTATATTCGGTCATCAGAGTTGTGGCCTCATCGAGATTCTTGGAAATGAACGGTATGAGTTCTGACGCAGGACAGGATGACGGGGTGATGAATTGCCCAGTGGGCGACACCATTAGCGGACCAGCTTCCCTGAAATAAATAGAAGCAATTTATGCAATCACTTGGCTCTAAAATAGTCACTTGTGTGAGATAAGCAGGGCCCCGATTGCGCTAATTTGTAATGACTGCAATTCTATCGCGTTTCATCTCTAGTTCACACTCCAGTAACGATCCAATTTCATTCCAGCTGATGTGCAATTTGGTATCGCGGTAAAGTTTACGCGAAAACAAAGACGAAAAAACGGATTTATGCACTTTCCATTAAAAGTCCGAATACCTCTTTTATAAATGGAAACACAGAAAATGTTCGTGAAGCGTTTGATTTGCGATTGAGAAAAAGTACCTTTCTGTCAGCTTTTACGCAAAGGCGTAGTTGCGTTCCGTTCTCGTTACAGCGTAATTATGCACATATTATATCGCACACTCACTGCGGGCGCCCGTCGCACTGTCGCGACGCGATACGGATTTGAGCAAAGAGCTGAATTCCGTTCGTGTTCCAGTTGCGTTGCAGTTGAAAATATCGGGGCACTGTTTGAGCATTTTACGATTTGTATCCATATTTTACATCTTCTGATTTTTTTTTAAGTTTTATAATAAGAAAGTATTTTCTTCCGAATAGAATATGTCTTACGGTTCGACGACGATCTCATATTTCTTGAGAGAGCTCGGCACATGCGATGGGAACTTGTTACCTCGACCGTAGTAGTCGCCGATCGACGTTATCAACTGCCGGAGGTGGTTGCAGTATTGGTGGGCCGATACTTTAGGCATGAACTTTCTGCAAAAAAAAAAAAAAGACTTACACTTACATAGTTTTCAACTGTTATTTAGATTTATTTTGCTTGGAAATAGAAATTTATAAAAACATAACCCTCCTTCTGGCGCATTAGGGTAAAAAGTAATGCCATTCAATAGGAAAAACACAGACGTCATCTTATATTGCCATACCAAATCTAATCCTTTTATTTATTTAAACGTAAGAAGATTTTCAACAAATAAGTCGGATGACTCTTATTTGAAACTCAATGATAAGTTATCAATATACAAAAACAATCTATCATAATTTAAGCCACGTGTCATGTTGTCTACTGAGAACTATTTTCGTAATTCGTTTGGTTTCGTTTTAAAACATTTGCTTACCTTCTACAAATATGTATTTCTCGCAAAACGCCTGATAACGCTTTTTCATAGTTGGGTATCGCTGTCAAGGCACTATCTTCTTGACTGACTTTTTTGATTAACTAAAATAAGAGGCATAATTAAAACATTTCGGTGATTTTTAAATTAACACAGACATCAATTTTACTACATGTTGTAAGTTATAATATAAATTGATGATAGAAGATTCAAGCATAAATGGTTAGAGTACAAATTTCCTGCTCGCTGTAGTTTGAACTGAGTAGAGTTTGGGCATCGTATCGAATGAAAAATGTGGTATGTCATTAACAGTGTGAACTGAAAACTTACCGAAAGCCACTCGTTTCTAACGTCGATTATATTTAAATATACATCGCCATCCAAACTCACGCCAGTGAATTGACCTAAAGCTATAGTTCTGCCTGAAATAATCAGAAAAATAATTACTCCATTATATTACAAAAAGAAATCCCCATGATGAATAATAATTTTACCTTCTAAGTTTGCCATAACTTTTGAATGCTGACCCGCCAGTGAAACCAAACTTTGGAGACCACCACGAATATGGCTTATATTCCATCCATTATCATATTTAACCTAAATAAAAATAGCCAATTATTTTATGATAAAAATATGCAGGTAAATAAAAGAAAATGATATAGGTGTTTGGACCTCACAAAGAAGCTCTCAATGGCTAAAAGCTGTTTAAAACAAGCAAAGATTTATTTTAAGTATGGTCATACATCAATAAAATTTATAATTTTACACTTGGCAGCACTAAATGTCAAATTTCAATAATCTCCAATTCGAACCTTATGAATAAAGCATAAAGATCAAAATCCATTGGGCATTACTATTTTTCTATTGCCAAGCTAGCTATTTATCTGGATAAAATCGACACATATGAATTACGAACTTGTTTAATACCATAAGTTTTGCACAGATGTTCCATTAGAGTCTTAACTTGATCTCTTGTAGCTTCTGTTGATTCATACTTTTCTTTTGCTATCATACTGTTATCATATACCCATTCACTGTAATTTAAAGATATTTATTGTAGGTACTTAAAGCATTATTATTTTCAGTACTCTATCCAAAGAAGCCATAAAGGCTTTCAGTGGTATCTTAAGTAACCCCACTAGGACATGACTCCATCTCCATGAGTCCTACTTGTGAGGCTGAGATTCTTATGTAGTCTCAAGTCACTGCTTGGATTTATAGTTATAGCTTACCAGCTCTAGTGGAGTTATGTCCTTACTTCTCTCCATGAAAATTACACTTGATTAGAAACATTACTGTTGTTGGGAACCCAACAACGCGCGGGAGGAGACGTGCGGGCGGCGTACAATGACTAACGTCACCTCGGGCCGACAGCGTCATCATCGGCTGCGCTCGGGTCACACACTCGCCTTTGGGACACCACCGTCGTCGCACAAATACCGCGTACTCTCATAATTGATTGTAAATTAGGCTGGCGAGAATACAGCACCTATTTTTATACAGTCCGCTATTTTATTTCTTACTAATATTCGTTAGGACCCTAACAACTGTGCTCATGCCAACTACAAAAACAAAGGAGGATTCTTACATAACATTAAGAATTGCTTTTCTTTCTTCAACTTTCCTCTTCATTTTATTCACTTTCTCAAATTCACTGCTATATTCTTGATATGCTTTTGCAAAGTCTGCATACTGTTGGTCTATACTAAAAAAAGTAAATATTTTAAGTATTAGAAATGTTAGTGGTTGGCAACAAAGTAAATGGATATTCTGCTCTTTTTTGATTATAATAATGATAGATACCTGGGATTATTTGTAATTGTACTTCTAGGTATTTTATCTACATAAGTTGTGGACATTTGACATGCATTCAAAACTTTCACAACTGTTTCACGGGCGTTATTCCCATTCAGCTGGATCTTCACATGTTTAAATTCACCTGAAAGCAGTGATGTAAACTGATGAAAATACGAATGTTTTAGTCTTAACTAATGATCTATTATGTTTTGAAAGTACATTGTGTTTTTTACCTTCCGGCATATCTTTTTGTCTTAAATAAAATGATAGTGGAGGTACTGCAATCCCTCGACTAGACTGTTGTGCCTCTAACAAGGCACTCAATTGTTGCAGGGAATTTTCATTTACTTTCTGCAATAAACAAGATATTATGTAAATTAAAATACTTTATTGCATAAGTTGCATAACATCTTATTACATGAGAGACTGGATAATTCTCAATCACGTTTTTGCCAATCTTAGTTTATTTTGAATATTAATTTATTATTAAAGATAAAGAATGTTACTTAAATTATGGTCTTATAGGTTCAAAACCGGTTCACTTACCCTTTGTGCTGGATATTTTCCAAAAAGGTCTGGATGCACACTGAAGTAAAATGGTCTAAGGGCTGTGGAAATCTCTGCAGAACTCAAATATCTACAAAACACTCCAGCACAGCGACAGCTGCTGAAATTAATTCAAAAGAACATAATTTAATAAGTAACATTACAATAGTCGGTTTGTGAGCCTCTGCCACCACACATAATTCCATTAAAAGTGTAAAAAACTAAATTTGTTCTATGTAATTTTTACCTTATTTTAATTCTGGAATACATTTTGTTGATATTTGACTTACTGCTGTGGATTTTTCTTAATTTACGCACTAGAATTTGTCCAAAAACATAGCTTTTGAATTGGATTGAATTGGATTCAGTGACCTTCATCTGTCACTGTCAAAGATGACAGCATTTGACAGGAAACAGATGATAGTTACTTTTTTATCAAAATATTTGTTATGGCACTCGACATATTTGCCGTACCATATCGATCACATCATCAGAAATTCAAGCAATCAAAAGCCTCAATTTTTGATTATTAAAATTGAATTTCATTTTGTAACTGAACACAGACAGACATGGAAATCAACAAAATTGATACTCGATCGAAAAAAATCGGTAGAGAAGGGAAAGAAAAGAAGATTGCTAAGAATGCTCTACATAAATGAATCTTGGACAACTAAAACTAAAATAGTAGGCCAAGGACTTGCAGAAAACTCATTCCTGAAATAAGTGGGCGCTCTCGCTGTTGAAAGTTGTGAATAAGTTTACCACATGTAGTACCTACTTTAAATAGGCATTAGTGTAGGTTATAGTGGGCTTTAGGTTTCATGGGATTGATGGGATAAGCCACAAGGATAATCCTTCGATCAACAATACCAACTAGATATTGGTATTGTTGATCGAAGGATAAGCCCGATATAACCTACTTACATTTTAGTAGGTAACTGAACTTGGTAAGAGAGTTTTCTTAAAGAAAATATTCTTCGATGTCTGTTTGTGATTGGTAGAGTCAGTTCGTTAATTTAAAGGAGAGACCTTCATATCATGGGATGGGTATCAGTATAAAAAAATGAAATGTAAAGTACCTACTTAAGCAGGTACCTTCGAAGCAAGCAGTATTATTATTATCGTGTAAGAAAGATCTACAAGTTTGAATAAATTATATCTCGTTACAATAATTATGACATGATACCTACCGCGGAAACAGAAGTCAGGAAGATATTGATAAGTGATGTAAGTTGGAGGTTAATGGTATAAAATGAATAACAGGTGAGCTGCGGATCGGTTGCTGGCTGGTGAGATAAAATCTGAAGGCTGCGCTTGCGGCGCGGTGCGTGAGCTGTGACGCAACGCGCGCCGCAGACGCGGTAGCGCCGCGCACCCTCCGCTGGCCGCAAACGCCTGACACTCGCCGAGCTTCATAATTGTTACCCGAGTTCAATAATTAAGCGATAAATATACCAGAGTGTGGCGGTGAGAGGAGGGCGGCAGTCGAGCGGCGGCCGCGTTGCGTACCACACACCCGCGGAGTGATGGACCCGAAGCTCGTTCGACATTTTTCTATCGGACGCCGTAGGAATCTCACCTGACTGGTTCCCGCGCAACGCTGCGTTAGTGCGCCGCTCTGGTGAACCCTTTCGCTTGTAAATGTGCCGATATTTACATATGCGCGCTTGCGTTGAACTTTCGATCAGCGCCCGTGGTCCGAGCCCGAGCCCGAGCGGTGTCGCCCGCGAGCTGGCCGCCGCCGGGCCCAGCGCGCCGGAGCCGCCGCCGCAGCGCTCTCAACTGCTGCACTACGTGCGATGACCTACGTATGTTTTTTGTAGCTTCATACTTAACCACCTATTGCAAAAATGAGCTCTTCCTAGGTGAACCAATACAGACACTCGAACAACCTACTTTCATCCATAAAGTAAGTTCAGATAGCTTTGGCAGGTGGTTATCTTCCTAAGATCAGTTAGTTAAGACTGCGACTCTACCTCTTTATCGACGGTCACGGAATAAACATATTTTGATGCAAGAACGTTACTAATATAAATAAATACAACTCGAGGAGTCGTATTATTCGATAGCTCGCAAACAAGTTATTGATACTGAGAAATCGGCCGGCGTTACGGTGATAATATTGTAATGTAAGTAGATGTAAATTATTACCTTGTTCCAATTAAATCACTGTCTGTTGATAACAGATGACGTTTTTGGTGAAGCTCTTATCGAGTGCGCTGACGTGAATATATAATGCAACATTATCAACCATATGTTCTGCATAAAGACAATGTGCATCGTAATAGTGCGTGCTCTTCTAATAATATCACAATGAAAATAGGTACTCCATAAATGTGTGTTCTAAATAAACACCAAATAGAGGAAAATGTGTGTAATTGTGATATTAATAGGCTCGGTGGGTAAGGACTTCGCTCTCTCACTAATAAATAATACAATTATTAGGAAACTTCGCCTGCGCCTGCGCCTACAATTTTTTGCTATCTTGATGTCAGTAAAAGAAAGTTTTGTTTTGATAAACAGCCAGACAATAAGAGATTGCCTATAGGTATTCTTACTTGGCTCTAGATAATACTAGCTGACCCGGCGAACTTTGTTCCGCCTTAATGGCAATAAATAACGGGATAAAAAGTATCCTATGTCCTTCTCCTGACTCTAAACTACCTCCCTGACAATTTTCAGCTAAATCGGTTCAGCCGTTCTTGAGTTATAAGCGAAGTAACTAACACGACTTTCTTTTATATATATAGATTATATACTAAGTACTTCGATAGAAACTAAGTAGGGGAATAGTTTTATCAGCAACAATAAGGTTTCTGTAAATAAGTAATAAACATAGAGTCAATCAGTCTGGTAAATTGTGTTTCATCATTATTTTCTGGTTTAACACAAGTATTTCTTGCAAGATGTTGACACAATTTAATGGCATTTCAGTGTTTAAAGAAGAAACTTTTTGCAAGTATGGGATCCACATCTAAGTTGCTAAAAATGTATACGCTTTGAAACAGCTAATCGGTTAGTTAGCATGGGGAAGTGAATCAATTACTTACTTATTTATCCCTTGTACATTCATTATTTTGCGCACTTTAAACTTCGAGTGTAGGTACCTACTTGTTCTTAGGAACTTTGACTTTTAAATTATCATAATGTGCAATGGATCTTCGGAGTGAGACCTCTATGCGACACAGGCAGCTGTTTGCGTAGATCAGTGTCGAACACGCAACAGCACGGTCTCAGTCCCGATTGTAAGAAAAATTTGAGGTTCATTAATGCATCCTCTCGATTCTGCGAAACATTTCAACACATGCATGACATTGAAGGACATTAAAATCAGGAACGTTACCTGTTACTCATCATAAGTACCACTACTTAAGCTCTGAACTTTGGATAGTTCCAGATTGGCACAAAATCATAACTCTACCTATGTACCTACCTGCTTAGTGGGAAATAGAGCTAGCTTAGATTGACCATATTCATAGAAAACCTTGTATGTACCTACTCCTAGGTTGCCTATTTGCCTATGCACCTCAGAAGATTTGGCATTTCAAGTTTGCATTGTTATTAAGGTAGAGCTCTACCTAATTCAATATATAGGGTGACATTAAAATCGTTGGCATCCTTTTAAACTAAGACTCTCAGTTTTTAAGGTTCCGTAGTCCTGACAAGGAACCCTTATTTGTCTTAATTTTACAATTTTGCTCTTAAAAGGAGTTTAAAACGATTGTACAGTTAACAGCACATCAGACATTTTTGTTGCAGAATAACACCTACTACATCGAAATAAGATGACACAGTGTTAAGTTTGATGTGCTGTAGGTGAGTATTTCTCAAAAAAATGTACATCTTGAAAAAAAAAGAGTGCTTTGAAACAGTTCCAAAGTTTTATATTTATAAATCATCACACAAAAAAACACACACACAATTTTGAAGGATGAATATTAATCTTTAAGATAACGAAGAATAATAGCTATAATCCTACTTATTACCAAATATTTAGATATTTTATAAATAGTCCTTTTTTACCTTTCATACAAAAACCTGTTTGCCACCCTAGCTTTTTCATGTGTTTTTGTATCATAAAATGCGATACGTATATAACTAAATTATTGTAAATTTCTTTGTATTATCGTTCTACAGTAATCGCAGTTTCTGTATCAAATTAATTTTCTATGGGGTGATATAATAATTAGCAATTTAAAGCAAAAAAACAAAATGAGTCGCTCTCATTTACTATTTCGTTATTTACTCTTTAGTTACGATTATTTCTACTTTCCCATGGTTTCTGAACAATTCCATATTTTTTTTACACGGACAACAATAGCTGCACTCTGAATGGCTGTTGGCCTGACGTCTCCGCCATACATCTATCGCGAAAATCAGTGAAAACGTGTGTGTTTTGTGGGATTACTTTTTCGTAACAGGAAGTAAAATCAGCGATTTTATATAGAACAGTAAGTCTTCATTTAACCATTTTTTGTAATACGTGTGGTACGAACATTTAGTAAGCTTTTATATTTGCTGTAACAGCTTTTATAAAAAAAATACTTGATTCTGATCTCATTTTGTCTAAATATTTCGTTACGTTTTTTACGAATTTCGTTACGTTACGAAAAAGTACAACATAATGCTGAGTGTATACTGTTATTACCTGACTAAGCATAGTCATATTCACTACTTAATATATTTAAAAAAATATAGAGCGTCAATAACAAAAGGATTGGATACTATCTGCTTTACAGAAGTGCCACCAGCAAAAAATAATCAAATCATTTAGATTACGTTTTTATGTGATTACTTCTTTTGTTTTTTTAGGAATGCCGCCAAAAACCAATGCCGAAAGGCAAAAAGCTTACAGAGAACGACTCAAAATGGATAAACATGATGGAACAAAAATAATTTTATTAAAATAGTATGAATGATTACTCCCTTATTTTATTTCTATCCTCTTAATATTACCCCGTAATTGAAAGAAAGAAAGAAAAAACGCAAATATTTGGGTGCATACTTACAAATATTTCGAATTGAATAAATGAAGAGCATTCACAATATTTCGCCAATGTATAACAAGCCTTATGGCCTTACTATTTCGTTACTACCGTTTCGTTACGTACATTTTTTTTTAGAAATACTCAGGTACAAGGTTTTAATTTTTGAATTTAATTTTGAACTCATCAGATTCGTCTCATATTCAGGGAATGTAGCTACTATGTACCATGAGTAGAGTCTTAGTTTAAAAGGATGCCAACGATTTAAAAGTTACCCGGTAGAATTTAGTTAGTAACGAATCTGCCAAATGTGGCTCACATATTGCTCTATTATTAGGAATTATAAACAGTAACTAGCGCAATA